GTAATAGATGTTTTAATGCTTTAATAAATTATGGAATAGACTGCCATGTAGCTATTGGAATGAGAAAAATGTATAATGTTCTACATGAAAAATTTCCGACATTATTTGAGAAAAGTAGGTTATTTAACATGTAGAGAGCCCCAAATATATGTTTTTAAAACACATTTGTATATGTGTGTGTATATATGCTCATGTGTTTATGTATTAAATACATGGGAAAGAGTCTGGATAAGTACATGCCAAATAAACAAGGATACCTCTAGGATAGGAAATAAGAGAAGAGATGAGGAGGGAAAAGGATTTTTCTCTGTGTGTTGGTGACTTATTTAAATTTTTATAAACAGTCATTATGTTTTAATTTAAGATGTTTAAACATAAATCTGGTTTCATTGTGAAGAGTAAATTATAGTTGATAGCAATTTTCAAGTAGAAAATTGCTTGAAGAAGATTGTTTTACTTTTTCAACTGTAAAATTATCTACTAATTAAAAAGGAGCTAATCATGAAGATTTTACATTTTGTTGCTCTGAGATGGCCTATTCTTTTCATCAACATTATTGCAATTGTATAGGTAAAAGAGGCTAAGCATCCACCTGCAGGAATGAGGACTGGAAAGAACATGAATATAATTTTAGGAAGATAAAATTGATTGGATTTACTAAATTTGTAAAAGTTAGGGGGTAGAATGAAAGGTAAAATTGACATAGGGACCCAGGAGGAAGTGCATATCAATCATGAGAATAATGAATTAAGCTTAGTATATTGAGAACCAGTGGGAAATTTTCTCTGAGGCTATCTAGTAGAAGATGTGAAAGAAAAGTCTGATGCCCTGAAAGGCTTTGGCATTTAGATGACATTTTATACCAGGATTGTTGACAGGATAACCAAAGGACAGTATATTCAGTAAGAAAAGATACTTACTTAAAAGATGGAACTCTGGAGGCCACTGATGTGTTAGGGCACTGGCCCCTAAAGTTAACTGAACAAATGCCTAGCAGGAGTTGCATCAGCTTCCAAAGGTGAAGATGATGTGAGTAGTCAGCAGTGTCACACTCCACAGGAAGTAGGAGAAAATGAACCGTGAATTTGTATGCAATGTAAGAGACTTTGAGAAGAATGGATTATGGTGGAGAGCCCTCTAGTGGAGGGGAGCATGGTATTGGAGGAACTAACTGGAGGGAGTCTGATAAAGGCTTTTCCTCCTCAGAGTTCAGTGTGGTTACTTTCTTACTGGAAAGAATGAAGCGAGGTCAGTTTTAGTCTCCCGAGGTATGTAAATTATTTGTAAATTGTTCTGCCTGTTAAAGGTAGAAAAGAGATTTTGAAGAGGTAAAACTTATGGAGAGCGATTTCTTCAGCAGTGGAAAGTAGGGGGTAAGTCAGGGAAATTTTCTCCTAAAGGGAAATAGCAAAAACAAAGCCAAACTGACAACAAAGAGAAGCTTCAGAAACTTTGAATACCAAGCTGAACTGAAATTTCAAACAAGCCCTGGAAGGATAAGCTAAAGGAACCTTAGCATAAAGTTGCTAAGAGAAGTATAAAACATCTCCTTTTATGTATTTTTTTTAATATACTTCTGGAAAGCTACTTGCTTTGTTTTTTGTTTTCTAAGTTAATTATATGAAAACTGAAACAGGGAAGAGGTTCTTCATTTCTTCCTTATTCAATAGATGATACAAGGAATAATATATATTACCTTCCTCTGTCTGTACCTTATTAAATTCATAATTGCACACAGAAAATTGTGGAACAACATATATATAAATAGTTCATATTGCTTACCTCAGAGTGTAGAATTAGAGTGGAAAGATAGAAATTAACTTTTTTTTGCATTTCTTTCATTAAGTTGTAATTTTTATAAAACAAAAGTGTGTAGTATTCAGGATGAAAAACTAAAAATTAAATTAACATATTTATATAAAGATTAAGACAACAGTATAGAGGTAAAAATGTAAGAAAAGTTTGCACTATAAATTTATCATGTGTATCTTTGTTTATATAAAAGCTTTTATTATATAAAATAGAATACAGAGTATATGAAATATTAATGAAAGTGTATAGTTTTGTATTTGTCTTTCCATAATGATACATGTGTATTTAGTTTTTTGAAACTACATAGAACTTTACAAACTTTTTGAGGGGTTGGGGGTTTAGCTCAGTGGTTCTGCTGCCTGCCCTGGAAGTGAAAGGGTCCGAGTTCAATCCCCGGTACCAAAAAAAATTTTTTTTGAAACTACATAGAGGTTTAAAAACATTTTGAGGGAAACTCAGAAATTTAGATATGTGTACAGAATAGGGCAGCTTAAGACCTTTAAAACCTTTAAAACGTAAATACCCACCCTCCAGATCAAGTTAAAGAGCATTGCTAGTCACCATATACACCTTTCTCACCTTGTCTCCTCAGTCTTTCTCTCCTCAATCTTTCCTCTTCTGTGTCAGAAATCAGTTCTGATTTCTATCCCTGTAGATTATTTACTTTTTTAACAAAATAAGTCATATATTTCTGTATGGCTTTTTTGTGTATGTATCTGGCAACATTAGCTTTGTGAGTTTATCCAGGTAGTTGTATATAACAATAGTTTATCCTTTTTCTATGTGGTATAATAGTCTAAAGCAAAATGTATGAATATCACAATTTAAGCTGATGGGCATTTTTTTTGAATTGTAGATTAGTATGAAAAATAGTCATTTGTTAACCTTGTACCTGCTTTTTGCACATATTTCTGTTGCATATGTACACACTTCTGTGGGTGTATATACCTGGTGAACACATTGCTAGGTCATAGTGTGTATGTAAGTTCAGCTTTAGTCAGTATTGTCCAACTGTTTTCCAGAGCCATTTTACTCTTATATGAGAGTTCTGTGTATTCCATATACTTTGTATTGATGGGTTTTTTGTTTTTGTTTTGTTTTGTTGGTACCTTTTTTATTCATTTATTTATTTTCCAGTACTGGGGATCAAACTGAGGACCCTGCGCCTGCAAGGCAGGTGCGGTACCACTGAGCTAAATCCCTGGCCCATTTGATAGCTTTTTAAAACATTAGTTTAAAAATTTGTTAGTATTTGGTTATGTAAATATATATTATAATTTCCTTTTCATGGACTTTTGCCACCTTCTCCCTCCACAGGATGGTGGAACCCAAATAGCTATCATAACTATTGGGCCCTCTGGTTTGTCCTATGTGTGATCTCACTGTGTAGGGAATATTTAATATTGGAACCATCTAACAGAACTGATAATGTATTTTTTTCTTAACAGATTTTCCTTAAATTCCCTGTTTTTTAGTTGTATGGTACCAACATGAAGAACACATGTAAAATAGTTTTATTTGTGGTATGAAAACCAATTTTGATTTCACAGTACTAAATGGGTGCTTTTTTAACTCTTACTTAAAAGTAGTATAAAAAATACCATGATATCTGAAACTATACTTTTGGTGAAGTAATACAAAACATGGATGATTTAATTGTCTGTAATAATTAGCATTCTCTTGGAACAAGCATACAGTTCTAGCTGCCAGCACCTATGTCACATAGATCTTCAGTCACTGGAAAACTGCTCTGTGAATTACTTGAGAATGTTTGGAAAACTATTTGAAATTTGCCCTTTGAAAGTGAAAGATATATCCAGTCAGGGAACCTTTACAGTCTTTCTTTTAACACTCTCTTCCTCCATTTCCTCAAATTTTCTTTAACAAAGGGTTCTAAATGTGTGAAACTCTAGTGCTTGTTTTTAATGAATTAAATGTGATTGCCAAACTTCCTGCTTTTTCTCCTGTTAGGAGGTGTGATTACTTCATGATAGCTACTCTGCCTGTTGTGCATTACACCTCTAAACAGGTGTTGGCCCAGGTGGTTTTCAGTAATAATTGTTTGGGAGAGGTTAAGGTATCAGTAACCCTCTACCATAACTGAATGGTCTTTTAGAAAACACCTTGTGGATGTTCCCCATACTCTCTGCTTTTGCCAGTTCTTACTGAATTATTCATTGTTTAGAATAGCTATAATGGCCAGAAATGTGATTCTTATACTAGTTAAGTTTTAGGCATGCTTTTCTTTTACTGTCAGATGTAGAGATTCTTCACATTTCTAATTATTATCAAGAGCTTCTTAGTGATAGCAGAAGACTACCTTATATTCTCTTCCATTGGGAAAGAGGGATATATGTGTTAAAAAACATTTTTAGTTGCTGAGATTTCTTCGGAGTTCATAGTATAGCATAAGTCTAAAAGTCTGCCAGTTCTTTTCTATACTAATGGTAAGCAGTCTAAAAATGCCTAAATGAATTAAGAAACCAAAAACCTTATTGAAGACACTATTTTCAGTGACCTTTTCTAGCTTTCCTTTCCTAGCTCCTAATTTTTAAATTTAATTTATTTTATTTAGTTATTTATTTATTTATAAGACAGGGTCTCACTATGTAGTCCAGACTGGTCTTGAACTCACTATGTAGCCCAGGTTGGCCTCAAACTCACAGCAATCCTCCTGCCTCAGCCTCCCAAGTGCTAGGATTACAGGTATGTACAACAATGCTAGGCTTACTAGCCTCTAATTTGGGGGGAGGGGGAGCAATATCAATAATGAGTAGCAAAACTTGCTGACTTGATTTTTTTTCACTCAGTATCTGTTAAAAGTTCTGATTTTTCTAAACCAGAGGTAGAGGGAGGGCACCAGTAGGTGAAAGGTAAGCTTTTGACAAATAACAGTTATTTAGGAATCTCACCATTTATCTCATATATTAATGGACCCTGGTTTGGAGATTAATTTTAGAGGCCACTGTAAAGTCTTTGTTAATTAAATGCCTTGCCCACTGGTAGATAATCTCTAAGTGTGACCTAGACAGTGCAGTCAGCCTAATATGAAGAAGTTGGCATGAGTCGCAGCTTCCTAACAGAGTGACACAAAAAAAATAAACCACCCTTTAACCAAGAACCATCAGAACCGTCATTAACTTCACTGTCATTTCAGTGCCACCCAAAAGTTTTTTTTTTCTACATAGGTATCAGTCAGAGCCGGATCTCTCATTGGCTGTTGCAGCAGGGATCAGACCTCAGTGAACAGAAGAAGAGAGCATTTTACCGATGGTATCAACTTGAGAAGACAAACCCTGGTAAATATAATTTCCTTTTTATTTATTGTATCAGAAGCAAGATGAATGTAATTAATTATTTCATTGAAGTTTAATAATATGCAAATATATTACTACATTATTTGATCAGTGTTTTAAAATTGATATTTCTTTCTCTTTTAATCCTTCTTTCCTTCTTGTCTTGATTGTTTGAAAACCAGTATGTATTATCACATATTTTCAAACAGCCACCACATTTCAAGTGCTCAACAGTCATATGTGGCTGGTGACTACCGTATGAGACCAGTTTTAAGATATGGTTGAAGCAACACTTTGAACTTTGCTAAGTGGTCTTCCCAACAGACATCACTTCTCTCATGATTTACAGCAGAGCAAGTCACATGAAGAGGGACATGAACTTGGCACTTAGTCTAACAGGACAGCCTAGGCTGATAGCAAGGGTTCAGCTAGGTAATCAAAGAACTGTGCCCAGAGGTTTTATAAATCTGGTCACATTCTAGATAAGCCATTGAAACCACCAGCAAGTGATTGGTGACCTCAAGGGGGACTACCAGAGGAATGATCAGGGTGTCCTACCATGTGTAGGGCAGAGGAATGATGAATTTGGAGGACAGGCGCAAGTCAACTGTGTCAGGCAATCAGCCTCCATAAGAGAAGCAATTTTTGTCTCTTGATTTGGCACGTACAACAGAACTGACATATAACCTAAGTATAGCTGTTGAGACTGAGTCCCACACGGGAGTTCCAGTGCAGACTCCAGGCCTTGGCAGGGACCAGGGAACTGGAAAGAGGACTGAGTGCCGCTCACAGGCTGCAGCTGATCTAACACTGCAGAATGAGGAATTTCTACTCTTAAGAGTCCTTTTTTTTTTTTCTTTTCCCAGTACGGGGATCGAACTCAGGACTTTGCGCTTGCCAGGCTGTCACAGCACCACTGGTAGAGCCCAGTTTTTAGCATATGTGCTGCCAAAGCGAGCACAGAGTCCAGTGTTTAACACTAGGCTGGTAGTAGTTTTCTGGAGCTGGCTTTTAAAAAGTTGTTGTTTTGTCTTATGTTTTATTTTATACTTAAATTTCTGGGAACTAGAAGTAGGCTTACCTATCATTGGGAAATTGGAGGAAGTGGAACCTAGAGTGCTGGAATGGGAAAGGACAAACAGCGTTTATCTCCTTGGTGGTTAAGAGCTGCTTTCTCTACAAGATAGTGCCTTCTTTTAAGAATAAGTTCCCTGGGGCCGGGTATTTAGCTCAGTGGTTCCAGCGCCTGCCTTGCAAGTGCAAGGACCCGAATTCGATCCCCGGTACCAAAAAAAAAAAAAAAAGAATAAATTCCCTGAGCTGAGTGTAGTGGCACAGTCCTGTAATCCTAATGTATGGGAGTCAGAGGCAGGAGGATTGCAAGTTTGCTCCCAGCCTGGGAAACTTTGTAAGAGTCTATCAGAAATTAAATGAAAAATGGATTGGGGATGTAGCTCAGTGAAAAAGCTCTGGATTTTATGTCTAGCACATCCCAGCGCCCCCCCCCCCCAAAACCAATAAGTTCCCTTTGCTGGTTGTGGTGGCTCACACCTGTAATCCCAGAACTCAAGAAGCTGAGCCAAGAGGACTACCTGGGCCACATAGGTCAAGGCTGGCCTGGACAACATAGCAAGATTCTGTTTCAGAACTCCACAAAAACAAAAAAAGAACAGATTCCCTTACTTGTATGCGTTTGTGTCAAGGAAGTTGCATTGCTATCACTTTCTATTTTTTTGTTTGAAAACCAAATCCATACTTACTCTCTTCAGTCAAGTTTTCTATTAGGACATAATTTGAAAGTAGCTGTATGGGATTTCGCTCAGTCCTTGGTCCTTCCAGTGCCTGCCTTGCAAGTGCAAGGTGTGAGTTCAATTCCCGGTACCAAAAATAAAAAATAAAATAAAAGTAGCTGTAAAGAGTAAGTTTGTAATTCCCTACAACTAGTTTTTGTTATATTGACAGTAACTGAATTTGAGCAATTGAAAATTTTTAAAAATTTTCTGTGCATTTCCATAAGAGTTGATGTGGCATAGAACTCTTTCTGGCAATTTTATTTTGTTGACTTTAAAATGACCTTTGATTTTGGCTAAAGAATAGTATTGTTTCTTCTTTGTGAATACTTTGAAGGTACTATTACTATTTAGAAAAGATGACCTAAAATATAGTGCCACCTAAATATAGCTTATTAATGAACTAATTTTTCTGCTTTGTAAGTTTAAGTGTTTAAAAAACCAACAAAATAACAAAATTTGTTTGCATATTCTATGTCTCTGTTCTTGGTCTTAAAGCATTTTTGTTTACCCTGAGTGAAGTTCTCATTTTTAACCTCTTCACTTTAGATCACATTTAGGTTTTCTCTTTCTCCCTCACTCCTCTTCCTTCCTTCCTTTTTTTTCTAAGATTCTTTTTTTTTTTTTTGGTACTGGGGATCAAACTTGGGTCCTTGCGCTTGCAAGGCAGGCGGCGGAAGCACTAAGCTAAGTCCCCGGCCCTAAGATTCTTTTTATGTGGACTCATCAAGAAAAAAAGGATATTAATATTGTTTTTACTGAAAATACAATGGCTATAGATATAGTGTAGTTCTCTGATAAATAGACTCATATTAGAATTTCCCCAGCATAAGCCAAAGCCTGCCAAGGCTTACAAATAAAACTGGCAGGTAGGAACTAATCAGATGCATTTTATCTTGTTTCTTATGAAAACATTTACAAAAGCTGGGGATTTAGCTGAGTGGTGCCACATCTGCCTGGCCAGTGCAAGGTCCTGAGTTTGGTCCCTGCTACTGGAAAGAAAAAAAAAAGAAATTACAAGAAAATGCCTACTTTAAAAAAAAAAAGCATGTGTGCTAAATTCAGCACGGTTGATATCAAATACTCCTTTATTTAATCAAATTAATCTCAAAAGTCTTTTTTTTTTCCCAGTACCAGGAATTGAAATTAGGGCCTCACAGTTGCCAGGCAGGCACTGTACCACTGAGCTACATTCCTGGCCCTCAGAAGTTTTTTCTCTTGTCTAATTTAAATAGTACTACAGCAGACAAGGTTTGCTGTACCTTTTGGCTCATGGCACTAATTCTGCATACTCCTAAATTAAACAGAAGTTTGCCAAGAGGCTAATGCAGCAAGGGCATAAGGTAAACATGGAGCTCAGAGAGGTGCCCATTCATCCCACACAGAGCTTGGGGAAATGCATGTGTCATGGGGAAGATGACAGCTGACTTTGGGAGAAGCTAATTTTTTTCCACATGAGGTTTAGATTGCTAGGTGAAAGTGCAAAATTTTGTTTTAATGGGAGCTCAGATATAATGTGGGAAAATGGTTCTGTAAGGAAACAGGTAGTACGCTTTTTCTGTATGGATCTTCAGCCAGCCCAAGACTTCTGTGTTTCTCTGGGAACTTCTTGGGAAAGATTTTTGGGTGTGGGGGGAGTTCTGGGGATTGAATCCAGAGCCTCCACATTGAGCCACATCCCTAGCCCTTTTTCTCTTTTTTGGTACCGGGGATCAAACTCAGGACCTTGCTCTTGCGAGGCAGGCAGCGGAACCACTGAGCTAAATCCCCGCCCCCCCCCCCCAGCCCTTTTTTATTTTGAGATAGGGTCTCACTAAATTGCTCAGGGTGTGCTCAAACTTGAAATCCTCCTGCCTCAGCCTGTCAAAGTGCTAGGATTATAGGTGTGCACCACTGGGCTCATCGTTTTTTGAAAGTTTTTGGTGAGAGAAGTGATATGATCATAATTATTCTTGAAAAGATGAATTTAATAGTATTTAAGAAGTAAAAGAATAATAGAGGAGCCAGAGATAAACTATGGAAGCATACCAAGCTCTATTCAAATTCTATCAAATAAGTCTGTAGAAGTCAGAGACAGTGTGGCTTTTCTTATTCTAGCTTTGAGACTAGAACAAAGCCACAGGAAAGGTATTTAATAATGGTGAATGAATAAATAAGTGGCCATTACCACTTCAGTGTGTTTGAGAAAGGGCTAGTCTGAATTAATAAAATAGTTGAATTAGGAATCTTTCATTGAAATTTTATTACATTCAAGGAAGTATAGAATATAGTGTAGTATTAGTAGGTAAACCTATAAAGACTTGATTTAGTTAGTAGACTAAATGTGTATTAAATAACATCTTATTGTCTTTGCTGTTGCATTAACCTTTTTTTTTTTTTTTTTTGTGAGACAGTGTCTCACTATGTAGCCCATGTTGGCCTCCTGCCTTAGTCTACGAAGTGCTGGGATTACAGGTTTTTTTTTTTTTTTTTTTGTGAGACAGTGTCTCACTATGTAGCCCATGTTGGCCTCCTGCCTTAGTCTACGAAGTGCTGGGATTACAGGCATGTGCTGCTGTGCCTGACTTTTTTTTTTTTAAGAGTTATTTTAGGGGCCGGGGATTTAGCTCAGTGGCACCACACCTGCCTCAAAAGCTCAAGGTCCTGAGTTCAATCTCTGGTACCACACACACACAAAAAAAACAGTAAGTTATTTTAAATTCATCTTACTGAATATATTCTATAAGGGCTTGTTCTAAACATCTACAATATACTGATCAAAAAGATTACAACTGTTGAGTAGGAATTTCAAGAGAGGTTTTTCAGAGAAAGATACTCTAAGTTGTCAGTAAGCTAAAGACCATACTTCCCTGTTTCCATAAGGAGAAGGATTCTGTGGGCTTTTTTTTAATACCATAAAAGAAGATAATAGGTAAAAGACAAAGTGGGGAAAATGACATTATAAAATAACTAATGATAGACTTTTTATTTTTTTGGTACCAGGGATTGAACCAGGACCTTGCACTTGCGAGGCAGATGTGGCGCCACTGAGCCAAATCCCTGGCCCATGATAGACTTTTTTTTTTTTGGTACCGGGGATTGAACTCGGGACCTTGTGCTTTCGAGTGGTGGAACCACTGAGTTAAATCCCTGGCCCCCATGATAGACTTTTTAAAGAAGGTATTTTTACTTCTTTAGATCTTTATTTGGGTGAAAAAAAATTAAATATAAATACTAAATATATTGGCCTACAAGTTTCAGTGGAAGGACAAAAGTGTATTATACTCAAGATTCATTGTGATTGTTTTTGTGATATCTGTGTCATATTGGTTTTAATAAATTACAAGATAGTTTGCTAAAAATGTCTTATTTCAGGGGCTACACTAAGTATGAGACCAGCTCCCATTCCAATAGAGGACCCTGAGTGGAGACAAACGCCTCCCCCTGTGTCTGCCACACCTGGGACCTTCCGACTACGGCGAGGAAGTCGATTTACCTGGAGAAAGGAGTGCCTGGCTGTCATGGAAAGGTAGGTAGACATCTGCTTTTCATATGGGAAGAAACAAACTTTCAATAGATTTGAACAGTTTTCATTTCCAACATGTAATTTGGGATCTAAGTTCTATCTTGAAAGTATTTTGGAGTATTATAAGTGCTATATTATATTGATTTTTTGTTTTGTTTTGTTTTTTGTCTTTGGTACTGGGGATGGAACTTGGGACCTTGCGCTTGGGAGGCAGGCAGTAGAACCACTGAGCTAAATTCCTGGCCCAGTGCTATATTATTGAAATAAGGTAATTTAACATTGAGAATTTACAAAGTTCACATCTATCAAGTTATTTTACTTAGTGTCCTAAGAAATTTTAGAAGAAATATTTTTTAATTTAGATCTTTGTATCATACTTTGGGAAACTCTATGAAGTCTTATTTTCATCAAAAATATTGAAGGATTGTATAGGTCACTGAGACTTGAGTTTCCTTAATAAAGAGGATGTGCTGAGTTTCAAAGGTTAGAAAATACTTGTTTATTACTTTGACTCAGTAATTTATCCTCTCACCCTAGCACCAGTACCTATTCCATACTAGGTATTCAGTATATTTCTAATCTTAGTTTCACTTTTCCCACCTGAAATGGTATAAATGATTGTGAAATATTGACCATATTTATCATTGATCCTATAGTACAAGTACCCTTTTAGTCACCTACCAATAAGTGATGCCTATGGAATTTTGTTTTAGTGGAGAAGTTTACATGCAGCAGAGCGGTGATTTCCCTGCTGTGCATTTTCTATGTCAGACTCGTAAACTGGTAAACTCAGCAGAGCATGGCTCAGTCTCTGATGCCTGTTTAACTGTTCGGCTCCAACTCTTAACTGTAACTTTCTCATCTCTAAAATGGAATTTTAAGTAGCCAATATGTCATCTAGGACTTTTGCCATCTCTTCTTGCTTATTTTATGATTATTTCCCAGCACATTAACATTATTGCCTGAAAGACTGGGAGACTTACAGTGTTGCAATTCAAACCATGTTTTTGTCTTATGCTATAGGTGAAATTAATAGGATGTTGGATCCAGTAGCTAAAATAAAACTATATAGATTATCCTTTGATACTGTCATCTGTTCTTTCCTTGCTTTCTTTATCATAAATAAGAGTAGAAGCCATTTATTGAATAATGAATCCTTATATGCTTGAGTGGTTAAAGTAAAAGAATGAGATTTCATTGTTCTGAAGACCTGAGCATTAAATTAGTAGTCAGCTCTATTTTTCTCATCTAGAAATTTTGGTTCTTTTTGAAAATTTGGAAATTACTACAGAGGTGATGGGAATTAAAATATGTAACTTAAATTACTTTTAATATATATTCCTCTAAGGTAGCAAAATTAGCTTTGATATTAGTTTCTAGCTGGTATAAGTTCTGATTATGTTGACTTAACCATTAACATTCATTTGCCATGTAATGTCAGTGTGAGAAAGAATTAATTTTAAAATTGATAACATCCTGGACTATATAGTGAGTTCAAGGCCAGCCTGCAATTCATAGTGACACTTGGTCTCAAAAAAAAAAAAAAAAGATGATATTTCTAATGCATTTTCAGAATGGAACCTCAAAGACTTTAGATTTCCTGAAGATAATAGCAACAAGCCACAGAGTCACACTGATTAAATTTCACTTTGTATTGAGCTAGGCATGGTGATCCATTCTTGTAATCCCCACACACTGAGAAGCTGAGGCAGGCAGATTGTCAGTTTAGTCCCAGCCTGGGCCCCACTTAGTGACTTAGCGAGTCCCAGTCACAAAATAAAAAATGAAAAGGGTAGGGATATAGCTCAGTGCAAAGGCTCTTGGTTCAATTCCTGAACCACCCCCCCAAAAAAGGTTGAGCACTGACACTCTCCAAGCTTCCCATTTAGCTTTAATTTATATTTTTAACCTTGATTTTAATTAAGAAGTGTCTTTAAGGCCAAGGATTTAGCTCAGTGGTTCCACCACCTGCCTTGCAACCACAAGGACCTGAGTTCGATCCCTGGTACCAAAAAAAAAGAAGTGTCTTTAACCCAGGAGTTGGTTATTTTTTATTTAATTTTATCTTATCTGGCACACCTAGAAAGAAAGGATAGAGTTTATTCCAACAGTTGAAAATTACAGAAAGCTTTTTGAAGTACTTAATAGCAATAGTACAGAAGAGCAAAGTATGATTTTCATTCTGTGAATAATGGAATGTTTTTATTTTCTAAAATGAAATATAAAATTGCCTAGTCTTAGAGTAACATATAATGTTTTTTGCCTAGACTGATGGATAAATACATAGTGCACATTTCGATCCCCGGTACCAAAAAAAAATACATAGTGCACACATAGAAAAACCAAAGTAAATCTTGCTCAAATATATTAGTATAACATAAAAGTCAAAAATTATTCCATTCCTCATACCATTCACCAATATAAATTTTAAATGAATCCATGCATATAAAGGAAAAAAGTATGGGTGATCCATCCATATCCTGGAAATGGGAAAAATATTTCCCAACCAACTCAATATCCAAAAACAGTAAGGAAAACTGTTGATAAATATGATTGGATAAATTGAAAGAAAAACTTTGGAGATAAAAACTGAGCAGTCAAGGCATGGTGGCACATACCTGTGATTCCACCATTCTGGGAGGCTGAGACAGGAGGATCGGAACTTCCATCCTAGCCTGAGAAACTTTAGCAACACCCTGTCTCAAAAATAAAAAAGGATGCTGTAGTCTATAGCTCAGTATGAAGGCCCTGGGTTCAATCCCTAGTACCACAACAAAACAAAACATAACTGAACACAGTAAAAAGACAAATTGGAAAACACGTTGTAACTTTTATCATCCCTAATATATAAAGAGCTCTGGAAAGAGAAAAGACCAACGACTCTGTAGAAAAATGGACTAAAGATCTGAAGATACAGTATCATCAGAAAAATAAACACAAGTGGCCCTTGAACACAGGAAAAGATTCGCAACAATGACAGAATTATTCCTTTTTAATTTTCTTCTCACAAATTACTAAATTTGTATTCAGTGGCAATAGTAGATAATTTTAAAGGATGTAGAAGTTAGTAAAAAAAAAAATCCCAGTTTTGTAAAACAGAGTGTTAAATAAAAATAATCTGAGTCCTAGTGGGGTTTTTTGCCAATAAAACATTTGAAACAACAGTTTAACAATAAGAAAAGCTTAGCTCGTAATAAGAAGAATTCCATTTAAAATTACATTGAGATAGCAGTCCTCACCTGGCAAAATTCCAAAAGTTGGCAACATTTTCTGTTGATTGGGCTATAGATAAATGGCATTCTCATATATTGTTTGTAGAAATGCAAAATGTAACCACCTTCATGGAATAGAATTTGGCAGTATCACAGAAAATTGCCTAAGGATTTGCCCGATGGCCCAGCATTCCTAATTCTAGAGAATTATCTCTGCTATTATACACTGACAAAAATTTTAAAATGTAACAACACTATAATAATATCCAAATATTGAAAACAAATGACATGTTTATTAGTAACGGACTGGACGTATAAGTTATAGTACATTCATACAGTAGATATTGAGGCCCACAGTGGAGTGCTATGCAAATATTTTTTTTTGTAAAGAATGAAGAATATCTCTAATAGTCAGCTATATAGAGTAGGCTATCATTTGTGTATTTCTTGTCTTTGTTTTAACATGGAGGAATACACTGTTAAATAAAATGATTATCCATAGAAGAGGAAAAAGTATGTGGGAGGAGATAGAAATACACCCCAAATACCTCCTTTTGACATTGCAACCTTGTAAATGTTCTAACAAAATTAAATTGAAATGGGACTTATCCTTAAAAAATAACTAAAATGAAAGCTGTGTATAAAGGTGGTGACCTAAATGCTCAGGTATGATATCATAGAACTTTATAACACTGTTAGCTCACTGAACTGTTAAAACAGGATACAGCTTGAGTAAAAAGAACTACCAAAAATCTTACTCCATTTTTTGCTAATTTTGGTAACATAAATGTTGTTGAGTAACCCAGCATGTCTGATTATGGCCTGCACAGTAGTATAAAAGCATGGAATAGGACATAGATAGATTTACCAGAAAAAATTTTGAGGAAAGAAATAACCCAACTAGCTATGGATTGAACATAGGAATGCAGAGCAAGAAGAGTGCAGTAGAGCTTAACATCTTGATGGTAAAAGTACATTCATCTGAAATGGCATCTGTACCATTGGAAAACTGTTTGATCTTGGGCAAGTCATTCCACATGTCTGGACTCCAGTTGCCATATTTATAAAAAGAGTTAAGTATAACAATAAAGTACAAATAGAATGTACTTCAGAGTCAGACAGACTTAAAATTTAATCTTAACCACCTTATGTTAAACTTTGGGGATTTTAGGTTTCCAAAGTGTAGAGCTGGTTGTTTATGAAGAGTTGGGAGAATTATTTGAGATAATATGTGTAGAATGCCTTCCTCATAGCCAACGTCAAACCAATTTCCTTTTTCAATCATAGTCCCTTCCGGCTTAGTGCTTTAGCTCTGAAGTTGCCTAAAATTTCTGTGTTGGGAGATTTTTAGTGGCAATAGACATAGAGATTTGGGAGTCATTAATAAGTTAGGTAGTTAAAGCCATAAGCTAGTGAATGAACTTCAGTTAAATCTCTCTGCTTATACAGTTTCTGCATTTTTATAGCAAAATGTGGCTGAAAAAAACCTAAAACCCTGCTGACTTAACTCATTTTAAATTCATGACCATGAGCCTGAAGTAGATCTTTAATTCTGCCAGGCAATCATACTATGTCTTCCTGGCTCATTCTTTCCCTCTCTAAATGATTATTTCACACTTTGTTCTCTCTGTAAATTCCCTATCCTCATTCTTGTGATGACCTTGCTTCCTGTTTGAACAGGAAGATAAGGCACTCGGAGGAGAATGTCTACAAACTATCTGCTTGCTTGCATGTACACACACACACACAGATAATTCATATTGTTCTCCTCTCTTGCCATACCCAAAGCAC